GCGTCGACCATTTCTGGCCGGCAACTTTCAGCGTCATTAAGCCGCTGCGCCACCGCGTCCTCCTACCAACATACAGATTACCAATCTAATTAAATGGATATATAACTGACTCAAAAATCATATTCAAAGAGTGCTTATCAATGGTTTCTTAACAAATTGAAGAAAGCTATCAACTGGGAAGCTGCAATATTTAGTCTTGGACCCTGTACTTGTCAACCTATCATTAATTACTGGGTGAAGAGTTGGAAGGAATGCTTATTAAATTTGTAGATGACATAAAATTGGGTGGGATATTATTATCCTTGAAAAATATTTAAAATTAAAAGGATTTTGACAGATCAGTAAAATAGGTTGAAAATAAAATTTAAGAGAGATACATGAAGAATTCTTCACTTAGTAAACAGAAATCTTGTATTGATTATTGTTGAGAAACCAGGTACAATGCAAATTGTTGATTATCATCTATAAAGCTCTTATATGGCTAAGTACTTGGATACCCTTGGGACTGTCTTTCTCTTACTGTTTCTGCCTGACCAGTAAGTTCCAGTTCAGCTGGACACTCCAAATCCCAGCTGTAAAGTATTGCCACCTTGTGCAAGCTAGGAGATGTTTTTTTCTCTGTAGCTGTGCGTACTCTGTGGAACAAGATCCCTCTGACGTTCTAATAGCCCTAACCCCATTGGGCTTTCATAAAGCTGTGGAAACAACTCTTTCAGCAAGACCTGAAATATGGTGTAATGATTTTTTCCCTGATAGTCTATCCTGATGGTTTAATCCTTTTCTGTTATCCTTCCAAATATATGGTTATGTAGCATTGTCTGTTTTGTTATTTGTATTTTTTGATGATTGTTTTAACCTTCATATGTAAGCTATCTACTTCAGTGAGATGGCATTCAGATAAGGAGGGGGGGGATACTTGCCAATTGTACTTGTGAAAAAGATCTTGAAATACTAATTGGTTTATATGGTTGCAAAAAAGGCAAATGCAGTCTTTTGGTATTCAGCAAAAATATTTTATTTTTCCAAATCATGGGCAATAGTTCTACTTCGTTTTGTTTATCACTGTCCCCCTTAAGTACTCTGTCTAGATCAGGATGTCACAAAGAGTCAGAGAAACTGGAACAGATTCAGGGAAGAATAACAAGGATGATTAGAGGAAAAGAACCTAATTGAAGTTAGGTTCAACCTAAAAGAAGCTGGGTGTTCTTCCTCTTGAAAAAAGTAGACAGGGATAAGATAGCACCCTTTGAATACTTGAAAAGATGTCTCACAGAAAAAAAAACTTGTTCTTTATTGTTTCAGAGTGCAGATGTGAAATAATGGATTTAAGTTATACAAAGTTGGATTCTAACAGAACAGTTGTAATGGAATCAATTACCTGGGGGAACAGGAGTTCCCTTTCACTGCCTATGTTCCAGAAAAGGATGCCATTTGTCTGAATACTTGCATAGAACTATTCCCTTCTAACCCTGTGATTCCAAGTTAGTCCTTTTTCTGATGCTGTTACTAATCAGCTTTCTCTGGCTCTCTTGCAGCTATAAGAAATATTTCTGACATGTACCCTGTCTTCTGGGAATAGATTTATAAAGTATATGTTATGCATACTGTAATGCATAACAGTGAATTGTCAATTCAGTTTTAATTCAAAAAAATAAATACATCTATGTCCCAGAAAATAAAAGGCTGGAAAAGTTGTAAAATCTGTGATCTTTATTCGGCCGATATTTTATCCAAATATAGTTTTGGAAGCTAGGAGGAGAAGGTGCTGAAGCTAGAGATAAGGACTTGGTGAATTTTTTAAAAGGCCTGAGATTTGGGTGGAATTTGGTTTGGTTTTCTTCTATGTAGCAAGGAGAAGTACAGGAATTAGAATCTGATAATTTTCTAATTACAGGCATAGATTCTTGTCATGTTAGCTTTAAAGAAGGCAAAATAATCTATTTGCCCCTTTTTTCATGCAGAATCAGATATGGAAAAAGTGTCAAGCTTTCTCCCTATTCCTCAGTATTATTTTTGCCACTGTTCTTTTACTTATTTTCTCTAACCCTTTAGTATATTTTCCGTTCCTTTCCAGGTTCATCTGATTCTGCATTTCAGCTTTCCTGATTCCACCTCTATGACCTGGAGTTATCAGACTGTAACTTTGCCTAGGCTCTTAGCCCCTGCTTTGATTTCCTGTACATCTCCTTCTTACTTACCAGCTTGGCAGTGAGCGCGTATATTGAGCTATATAGGCCTCTTAAAGCTATTTTTCCTTCTCATGGGGATTGCATGTGCCTCTGCTTTGAGGATCTTGTTTTTCAGCATGTCCCATCCAGGATACTTCACTAA